GGCCGTGGTCACAGCTGTCTTCAGTCTGCCGAGGTGCAAATTTCAATTCTCCTTCTTCCTGCTATGGGGCCTTGAGCCAAGGACCTCAGCATGCCGGTTAAAACTTCTACTGACGGGATATTTGTTAGTTTTGGTAGCAGGGCTAATGGTGGTGTGGTTACTGGGGGGAAATAACTTTATTATTAGAGATGGATGTTGGAATATTCGGAGGCCAAATAATGTAATGTCTCTAATTTGCCTCAAAACACTTCAGCCAAAAAAGTAGGTCTTGCTGTTATGAAAATGGTTTTGCGGTTATGGGAGAAATTGTTCATAGTTTTTACAGACGCTCACTTAAATATTTAGAGGTGAGTGTCATTGATGTTTGCATTTACTTTAAAATGCTGTCGAGGGGGCGCCTGGGTGGCTGGCCGGTTGAGCGTTCGACTTCTGGACTTACGCTCAGGTCATGATCGCACGCTTGTGAGTTCCAGCCCCACGTCCGGCTCTGTGCAGACAGCTCGGAGCCTGGAGCCTGGTTCATATTCTGTGTCTCCCTCACTCTCTGCCCCTCCCCTGCTGGCACTCTGTCTTTCTCTCTCTCTCTCTCTCAAAATACATAAAAATATTAAGTAAATTTTTAAAAAAATTTTAAAATGCTATAGGAAAAAAGAAAGGCAAAATACTTGTATCAATTAGATTGGGGTAACCTACTTGCCATTCTGTGTGTTTGTAATGGTCCCTAATAAGTTTTTGAAAAAGTAACATGTAAAAGACAAAACAGTCTAGTCTCTCCATCTCAGGGTCCTTCTGACAAATCAGAGCAATTTGGTGCGGGTGGAAGGCCTGAAATGGTTGCTGGCGCGCAGGAGGGCTCAACAAATTCCTTCAACGTTTACCAAGGACTTTGTACCAGGCACTGGTCTGGGAACTGGGGACACAAAGCAGGAAACAAAGCAAAATCCCTGCCCTTATGAACGAAGAGTAAACATGCAATATTTAATCTAAGGCTTTCAGGCAGTGATAAGGAAAATGGAAAACAAACCATGGTGAAGGAAGTGCAAGGGTACAAGTGAGGCATGGTTGGCTTTAGGTGGGGTGATGCTCAACGGCTTTCCTGAGCAGGGGGCATGTGAGCAGAGGCTGAATGTGGTAAGGGCAAAAGTTGGGTAGATGGTCCAGGAAGAGTTCCAGTTAGGGGCAACAGCCAGTGCAAAGGTCCTGTGGTGGGAGTATACTGATGAGATCTAGGAGCAGCAGAGTGGCCAGTGTGGGTGGAACAGAATAAGGGGAGGGAAAGAGTAGTAGACCATGAGTAAGTAGTACTACCTCTACCACTATAATAACGGGTATTTATTATTATTCTTACTAATTCACTGAAGCCTTAAAGTAATAATTTTAAGGTAAAGTAAGAAGAGTCACCCAAAAAGCCTATCTTCTAAGGCAGTAGAGCTTAGTGTTTTGAGGTTTTTTTAACGTTTATTTATTTATTTATTTATTTTTTTAAAATGTTTTTTCTTTATTTCCAGGAGAGAGAGAGAGAGAGACAGCGCGAGCAGGGGAGGGTCAGAGAGAGAGGGAGTCACAGACTGAAACAGGCTCCAGGCTCCGAGCTGGCAGTCAGCACAGAGCCCGACGCGGGGCTCGAACCCACGAACCGCAAGATCATGACCTAAGCGAAAGTCGGACAGTTAACCGACTAAGCCACCCAGGCGCCCCAACGTTTATTTATTTTTGAGAGACAGGGCAAGACACAGTCTGAGCGGGGGAGGGGCAGCAGAGCTGGAGACACAGAATCCAAAGCAGGTTCCAGGCTCTGAGCTGACAGCATAGAGCCTGACGCGAGGCTTGAACTCACAGACTGTGAGAACATGACCTGAACCACAGTCTGCCGCTTAACAGACTGAGCCCCCCAGGCGCCCTTCCATGCCTGCCTTTCCTTCCATCTCTCGGTCTCTTTCTTTCTGTGACTCGTTCTCTCTCAAGTGACACACACCTGTGAGGTCCAGTGACGTGTCACGGGAGGGGGCGGGCAGGAGGCTGGGTCCGCGCACAATCCCAGAGAAACGGCAGGAATGTTAGCTCTTTCCTCCTCCTGACTCACCTGGGCCTCGCCCCTCTCCTACCTGCCTGCTGGGCCCTGAGAGGGGCTTCCCCGGTCTCAGGAGAGGAGACTCTTATGTGGAGCCAGACAGGGAGAAAGATTGAGAGAGACAGAGACACAGACACAGAGAGGGAGAGATGGTGAGAGAGATAGAGCGCCAGATGGCGGGGAGGGGAGGAGAGGGGCCATGGACAGACTGGCTCAGGGGCAGCCAGAGAGGGAGAGAGATCTCTCCACCTGAGAGGACAGAGACAGAGAGAAATAGAGGGACAGAGACAGAGAGAGGCAGAGATAGAGGCAGAAGCAGAGGGAGTTGGAGAGAACGACATCTGGTTCCTTCAGAGGGAGCAGGTGGGGACGCAGAGAGAAACTGCGTGTGTGAATGCACATCTAGGACTCCTCAGCCTCTCGCCACCAGCCTGAAGAGGTGACCGCCTCTGATCTGGCTGTTGGTGGGGGCGCGGCTGCGGCCACTTCCTCCCCAGCTCCAGGGGACACCGATGTGGCTGTCCCCATCCTGGCCTGGCCACCTCCCAGATGCGGTGACATCTCCTGTCAGGGCCTCCCTCTGCAAAAATGGGGAACAAAAGAGGAGCCCCCTGCCCCTTGCCGCAAGAAGTGAAAGAACTGGGAAACTCCTGAATTCCACATCCCTCTTTTCCCATTTTCCAGGCAGAGAAACTGAGGCCTAAAGGGAGAATTTATATATTTAATAAAAAAATTTTTTGTAATGTTTAGATTTGAGAGAGATAGAGAGACAGAGTGTGAGCAGGGGAGGGGCAGACAGAGAGAGGGAGACACAGAATCCCATCAGGCTCCGGGCTCTGAGCTGTCAGCACAGAGCCCAGAGCAGGGCTCGAACTCACAAACTGTGAGATCATGACCTGAGCCAAAGTCAGACGCTTAACCGACTGAACCTCTCAGAGGCCCCTAAAGGGGAGACTTTAAATGAGACTCCCCCACCCTACTTTTATTGAGTGCTCATGCTATGCTGGGTACTGTTTTGAGTGCTTTATCTTTTTTTTTTAATGTTTATTTTATTTTTGAGAAAGAGAGAGCACAAGCAGGGGAGAGGCAGAGAGAGAGAGAGAGAGAGAGAGTATCCAAAGCGGGCTCCACGCTGACAGCAGTGAGCTCAGTGAGGGTCTCGAACTCAGGAACCGTGATATCGTGAGCTGAGGTGAAGTCAGACGCTCAACTGACTGAGCCACCCAGGCGCCCCACTGAATGCTTTATAATGTGGTGAATCCTCACAGTATCCTGTTTTGTAGTTGAGGGAGCTGAAGTTTAAAAAAGCATGACTGGGGTGCGTGAGTGGCTCAGTCGGTTAAGCATCTGACTTCGGTTCAGGTCATGATCTCATGGTTTGTGGGTTCGAGCCCCGTGTCGGGCTCTGTGCTGACAGCTAGCTCAGAGCCTGAAGCCTGCTTCGGACTCTGTGTCTCCCTCTCTATCTGCCCCTCCCCTGCTCACGCTGTCTCTCTCTGTCTCTCTCTCTCTCTCAGAAGTAAATAAAACATTAAAACATTTTTAAAAATATATAAATAAATAAAAAGGCATGACTGGCTGAATAATGGCCCCCAAAGATCTCCAAGTCCTAAGCCCTGTGAGCGTTATCATATGCCGAAAAGCGGTCTTTGCAGATGTGATTACATCAAGGATCTCATGGTGGGAACATTATCCTGATGCCCCTCGTGGGTCCTTGATGTAATCACAAGAGTCCTTACAGAGGGAGGGGAGGAAAGGAGGGTCAGAGAGAGAAGATGCTTTGCTGCTGGTATTTATTTATTTGTTATTTAGAGAGCACGAGCAGGGGAGGGGCAGAGGGAGAAGAAGAGGGACAATTCCAAGCAGGCTCTGCACCATCAACGCAGAGCTCAACACGAGGCTCGATCTCACGAACCCACGAGCCGAAATCAAGAGTCGGACGCTTAACTGCCTGAGGCACCCTGGTGCCCTTTTGCGGCTGGTTTCAAAGGTGGAGGAAGGGGGCCAAGAACGGGGGTGGGGTGGGGCTCAAGGGGGCACCCCTCTAGCTACTGGAAGAGGCAAGGAGACCCTGCCCCCAAGAATCTCTGGAGGGAGCGTCGCCCTGTTGGCACGTTGATTTTGGGTTTTAGATTTCCCATCTCCAGGGAAGTAAGAGAATACATTTCTGCCGTTTTAAGCTGCTAAATTGATACTACTTTGTTACAGCGACAACAGGAAACTAATAGAAGAGGCTAAGTCACTTGCCTGTGATGGCCTGCGGGCACACAGTCACGATTTGGACCAAGCCGCCTGGCTCTGGTCCCATTGCAAAACCATCACCCTGAGTGTCCCCGCTCTGGGGAGAGACACGAACCAGGAAGCCCCCAGGCTCTTTCCATCCCGGCCTCCACACCCTCCTCCAGCGGTGCTCTTGGCCATGCCTTCCCCTGCCTTGGAGGGGTGGGGTGGGTAGGGCTGACGAGAAACGATTCGATTCGCTGAGTTAGTGCAACGATGCAAATTTCCCCATCTCCAGCACCTTGCAGCTCAAGTAACACCAGGAGGCTGCAATAGCAGATAAAATCATTGCACTTCAAGGGCTAATATTGCTAATAGATAAAGAGCCCTGAGTGAGGGTTGAATGTGTCTTCCTTCGCCGCCCCGGTCTCCCCCCCTCCGCCCCCCCCCCAAAAAAAAAGAAAGAGAGCTTTTGAAATCCTAACTTCCAGTACTCAGAATGTGACCTTATTTGGACATGGGGCTGTTGCTGATGTAATTTGTTAAGCCGGTGTCATAGGGGAGTAGGCCCGCCCGTAATCCAAAGCCTCTGGTGTCTTCAGGAGAAGATGGTCACATGAAGAGGGAGACACAGGGAGAAGGCCGTGGGATAAAGGGAGCCGAGACTGGAGACAGGGAGCTGCAGCCAAGGGGGGCCAAAGATTGCCAGCAAACCGGTAGAAGCTGGCAAGAGGCAGGAAGGACTCACCCAAGAGGATTTCAGAGTAAGCAGTCCTGTCGACACCTTGGTTTGGGGTTTCCAATTTCAGTTTCCAGCCTCCACATTGTGAGACAGTGCATTTCTGTTGTCGGGGTTTTTTGTTGTTGTTTTTTTTTTTTTTAAACTGAATTAAGAGTAACGCCCTCTAGGACTATAGCAGCTAGTCCTGGCACTTTTTTTTTTTTTAATCTTTTTCTGGGGAGGAGGGGAAGAGTGATAGGGAGCGAGCGGGAGAGGGGTTGAGAGAGGGAGGGAGAGAGAATCCAAGCAGGCTCCGCACTGTCAAGCACAGAGCCCGATGCGGGCTCGAACCCACGAATCACCAGACCATGACCCGAGGTGGAAACCAAGAGTCAGGAGGCTCAACCGACGGAGCCACCCAGGCGCCCCGCGCTTCTGTGCTTCTGAGCCACGCTGGCTGCGGCACGTTGTGGCGGCGGCCTCAGGACATTAACACGGCTCCTACGAAGCAACAGAAACACGAGCAGAGGGGGGCGCCTGGGTGGCTTAGTCGGTTAAGCGTCCGACTTTCGCTTAGGTCATGATCTCGCGGTTCGTGAGTTCGAGCCCCGCGTCGGGCTCTGTGCTGACTGCCAGCTCAGAGCCTGGAGCCTGTTTCAGTCTGTGACTCCCTCTCTCTCTGACCCTCCCCTGCTCACGCTGTCTCTCTCTCTCCTGGAAATAAATAAAACATTAAAAAAATTAAAAAAAAAAAAAAAAAAAAAAAGAAACACGAGCAGAGGACCGGAGAGGAAGCATAACAGCGACCCTTCAGTGCTATTCGCATCTGTTAGCGTTTGCTGTGTTCTAACACCCCTAATGTAACGGCTTAAAACAGCACGTATTATACCTCAAGGCCCTGCGGGTTGGCCGGGCCCGGCTGGTCCAGGCTGGCTCGCCTGGGCCTGACTGGTCTTGGATGGCCTCACTCGGGGGTCCTTGCTGGGCCGGCCCGGAGGCCCCGAGCGAGCGGTCTCCGCCCTTGCAAGAGGGGAGCTCTTTCACACGGGGGCAAAGGAGGGGTCACGGCAGCAAGAAGGTGACAGGGAAGCTGCACATTCTCCCAGGCCAAGACCCAACTCACTCAGCATGGCTTCTGCCGCCTTCTCTGGTCACAGCAAGTTCCGAGATTGGCTCAGAGTGGACGAGAGGGAGAAAGACTTCATCTCTTTCTCCCTCCCTTTTTTTCGTTTTCAATTTTTTATTTTAATTCCAGTTACTTAGCATTCCGTAGACTCCATCTCTCTTTTTCTTTTTTTTTTAATGTTTTATTTATTTCTGAGAGCGAGAGAGAGACAGAGGGTCAGAGAGAGAGGGAGACACAGAATCCGAAGCAGGCTCCAGGCTCTGAGCTAGCTGTCAGCACAGAGCCCGACGCGGGGCTCGAACCTATGAACCGTGAGATCATGACCTGAGCTGAAGTCGGTCGCTTCACCGACTGAGCCACCCAGGCGCCCTGAGTAGACTCCGTCTCTTGGGGTCCAGGAGCTACACAGAGTTCATGGCCATTTGCATCCGACCACGGCCCTCTCCCTTACACACTGGCAAAAATAAAACAGGCTGATGATACACACAGGTGGTGAGTCTGTACGGAAGCAGACACTCCCTTACGCAGCTGGTGTAAGCGTACATTGGTCCAATCCCAAGAAGGCTGATTTTGCAATTGTTCTCAAAATGACAAATGGAGAAAACCCTTCTGACACCGTCAAACCACTTACCGCTTGGGGGGAACTTGGCCCATGTGTGAAACGATCGTGTCACATAGTTCTTTGCTGCAACAGAGTCTGTAATACCAAGCTGTGGGAAAACACAGACCTGGGCAAAGGCCCACGTATCGAATGGAAGAAAACAAGAAAAGAGGAAACCGTGACTCGGGTTACATTATTTTCAGGTGGAGAATTTTAGGGGTGGGACGGTGCTTTAGTTTACACTGTGGTTTGTGCATTGGAGGTGGGGCTGTGGGCCCCCAGGCTTGTGTGTACATAACTCCTCTGCACTGGCAGCGCAGAGCCCGACGCGGGGCTCCATCCCACGAACCGTGAGATCACGACCTGAGCCGAGATCAAGAGTCAGACCCTTAAGCCACTGAGCCCCCCCGAGGCGCCTCTCGCCTCCAGGTTTCTAATTAAGGGCAAGAACATGTCCTTTGCCTGCCTGCTTGCCCTTCACACATTTTATGCCATGTTTGTGCCACTGGCAGCCTGTTTGCCAAGCCTGAGTTATCAGCTAATGTTTGAGGAGTTAGGAGATAGGCTTCTAGTCACGAAGCACCTAGAGCCGCTCCCTCCTCCAGCCTCCAGACCCCAGCCTCCAGCCTCCAGACTGGGGCGCCTGTTCTCTCTTCTTCCCGCTTCTTCTGGACCAAAGGGCTCTGGGCCCACCCGAGAAGGCGGTGGACCGCCTCCAGAAGCTTCTCCCTGCCACCGCACCCCGTCAGGAAATGCAGCCCTCAGGCTCCCTCCTCCCTTAGGCCCAAGCTTCTTCCTTTTTTTTTTTTTTTTTTAATTTTTTAATGTTTATTTATTTTTGAGAGAGCGACGCAGTGTGAGCAGGGGAGGGGCAGAGGGAGGGGGGGAGACACAGAGTCTGAAGCAGGCTCCAGGCTCCGAGCTGTCAGCACAGAGCCTATGTGGGGCTCGAACGCACGAACCGTGAACCGACTGCGCCACCCAGGCACCCCTCAAGTTCTTGATCGCACCGGCTGATTGAGGGCCCCACCTGGAGTCTGGGAAGTCCAACAGCCCTGCCGCTGACCCTGCACTGGCCCTTTCTCTTGTTTGGGGTGGCTCCTCTGAGCCAAGGGGAGAGGCCAGCCCCAGCCTTGCAGGACGTGCGGCTAACTGACAACACACAGAGCTGTCCTCCGGGTTCTGCATACAGTGGTTCATTTAGTCCCTCACGGCAGGCTTTGACATAGGTCCTCTTCCTCTTCTCCTTTTTTTTTTTTTTTTTAATTTCTGAGAGAGAGAGAGAGAGCAGGGGAGGGTCAGAGAGAGAAGGAGATAGAGAATCCAAAGCAGTCTCCAGGCTCTGAGCTAGCTGTCAGCACAGAGCCCCACCCGGGGCTCGAACCCACGAACCGTGAGATCATGACCTGAGCCGAAGTCAGACGCTCAACCGACTGAGCCACTCAGGTGCCCCCCTCTTCTCCTTTTTTAAAAATAGTTTATTTATTTATTTTGAAAGAGAGAGAGAGAGAGAGAGAGAGAGTGCGAGCAGGGGAGGAGCAGAGAGACAGGGAGAGAGAATCTCAAGCAGACTCCGAGCTGTCAGCACAGAGCCTTACGCGGGGCTCGATCCCACAAACAATGAGATCGTGATCTGTGATGAGATCAAGAGTCGGGTGCCCAAACAACTGAGCCCCCAAGCGCCCCTCTCCTCTCCTTGTCTGACGAGTGAGGAATTGAGGCTCTGGTAGGCGGCATGGCTTGCCCGAGGCCGCTGAGCTTGAAGTGGCAGAACTGGAGCTTGACCCCAGGCCGTTGGGATCCGAAGTGCTCATCCTCTTCTGGAAGTGAGTGTGGTTTCCTTAGTGAGGCCGGAGCAGAGTCCTCCCAACGGCGACACGGCCACCATGTATCCGGTGTTAGCAGGGGAGCCTGGAGTGTGCCAATTTAGTGGATGGACACACTGAGGACCGAAACCAGGGACGGGATATCCCCAGAGCTATACCTCAAAGGAGAGGCGGGTGGGGAGGCAAAGCAATGAAGAGGTGACTCTGACGGGGAGACCAAGCCCTGGGGCTGGAGGTTCCTTGTGGGGTCCTTCAGATCGACCTTATTCCCATTAAACAGATGTGCAAATCAAGATCGCCCAGCCAGAGGCAGGGGCAGAAGAGAAATGCAGGCCTCATCTGGCTGAGGCAGGCCATTTTCTAGGTGAGGTCCAACAGTCAAGTCAGAGAGGCCCGTGTTCAAATCCTGGTTATGCCAATGTCCTCACTTGGCAGCTTTTGGAGAAGGGTCTTAATGGCTCGGAGGCTTAGTTTCTTTCTCTATGAAAGGTGGGAAATTCGGGGCTCGTTTAAACTGTACCAGCGGTTAAAATACTGAAATTCTTTCAGGGCGCCTGGGTGACTCAGTCAGTTAAGCATCCAACTTCGGCTCAGGTCATGATCTCACTGTCCGTGGGTTTGAGCCCCGTGTCGGGCTCTGTGCTGACAGCTCAGAGCCTGGAGCCTGCTTCGGATTCTGTGTCTCCCTCTCTCTCTACTCCTCCTCTGCTCACGCTCTGTCTCTGTCTCTCAAAAATAAATAAATGTTAAAAAAAAACCTGAGATACTTCCAGATTTGGTTGGTAGAAATCTGCCATCCGGAGACCCTCAGCGCCCGCCCCTCCCCCTGCCCCGCGTGGCACGCCTGGGTCCTCCGAGACATTCCCGTGTTCTAGCCACTAAAAGTTAAACACCAGGTCTGTGGAGACCACCAGGTCGCAGCTCTAGCAGTCGGGCAGCGTGGTTACTGTCACAGAGCCTGGCCCAGACTGACGGACGGAATACTAGAATACTGTCTCCCTTCTGGATTTAGGGGGAATGGCCTATAGGACTGTTGTAGGGACCCAGGGATCTCTATGGAACGACCAGGAACCCGTTAATAATAGCAGTAGTGGTGCCAGCGTGCCCTTCTGTCTGTTTCTCTCAGGACTCAGTTTCCCGTCTCCGTGCTCCTCCCTGAGCCCCTGCACCCCCCTCCCCGCCGGGTGTCCCAGTGGCGAGGATGGAGGGTGGGGCCACTATCTCCCTCACCTGTTTGCTCTCTCTCTCTTCTAGGTCTGCTAGTCTAGCCCTTGAATAAAAGGCCAGGTCACCTGTGTCCTGCTTCCTCCCCTCCGGCCTGGGTCATGCTCCAGCTCCTCGCCAGCCTGGCGCTCTGGGGGGCGCTGGCCTCCCCAGCAGGTAGGCACCTTGCGTGTGGTCCCTGAGAGCGGGGACGAGAGCAAGGGCGAGAGAGTCGGTCCATGTGCACATGCGGGGTGGGCATCTGGCTTCAGAATCTGGGGTCTGGCTCCTGCTCCCTCCGCTTTGTGTCTAGCAGAGGCAGCTGAACTGTGTTTGAGAACATAGCTCTGGCGTCAGCCCGGCCGGGGTTCAAGTCTTGGCTCCGCCGCTTCTCAGCTTTGTGACCTTAATTCTCTGTTTCTGTGTCTTTCTCTTCCTTCCTTCCTTCCTTCCTTCCTTCCTTCCTTCCTTCCTTCCTTCCTTCCTTCCTTCCCTTCCTTCCTTTCCTTCCTTCCTTCCTTCCTTCCTTCCTTCCTTCCTTCCTTCCTTCCTTCCTTCCTTCCTTCCTCCTTTCTTTCTTTCTTTCTTTCTTTCTTTCTTTCTTTCTTTCTTTCTTTCTTTCTTCCTTCCTTCCTTCCTTCCTTCCTTCCTTCCTTCCTTCCTTCCTTCCTTCCTTCCTTCCTTCCTTCCTTCCTTCCTTTCTTTCCTTCCTTCCTTCCTCCTTTCTTTCTTTCTTTCTTTCCTTCTTTCTTTCTTTCTCTTAGCTTTGTGAGCTTAATTCTCTATGTTTGTTTCTTTTTTTTCTTTTTTCTTTTCTTTATTTATTTTGAGAGCAGGGGTAGAGGCAGAGAGCGAGAGAGCGAGAGAGAGAATCCCAAGCAGGCTCCGCACTGTCAGCACAGAGCCTGACGTGAGGCTCAAGCTCATGAATTGTGAGATCATGACTTGAGCCAAAACCCAGAGTCGGAGGCTTACTTGGCTAAGCCACCCTGGCGCCCCTTGGCTTTGGAACCCTAAACAAGCCACTTAACCTCTCCGTGCTTCCGTTTCCCCATCTGTGAAATGAGGGTGATGATGACCCTGCCTCAAAAAGCTGTTGGGGGGCACCTGGATGGCTCAGTCGATTAAGTGTCTGACTCTGGATTTCAGCTCAGGTCATGATCTCATGGTTCATGGGTTCAAACCCCATGTCAGGCTCTATGCTGAAAGCACAGATCCTGCTTGGGATTCTCTCCCTGTCTCTCTCTGCCCCTCCCTTGTTGTCTATCTCTATCTCTATCAACTAAAAAAAAAATTTTTTTTTTTTTAAAAGCTCTTGGGCAAAACAAAAGCTGCTGGAGGCATTCATGGAATTAATATGTTTGAAGAACTTCTTAAGAGTTTAGAACAGGACCAGGTCAGAAGTAGCCCCTGTCGGAAGAGCAGAAGATCGCCAAGAGCAGTTATTATTATTATTTTAAAGTTTATTTATTTGTTTTGAGAGAAAGACAGAGGGAGTGAGCAGGGGAGGGGCAGAGGGAGAGAGAGAGGGAGACAGGGAATGCCAAGCAGGGTCCAGGCTGTCAGTGTAGAGCCCGACATGGAACTCGAACCCACAGCTGTGAGATCGTGACCTAAGCTGAAACCAAGAGTCTGACGCTCACCCCCCGGAGCCACCCAGGCGCCCCAGGAACAGTTATTATTGTTCCTACGCCTTGTCTGCTTGTTTCCCCTTTGGGTCTGATCCTGGCCCCTGGGTCCAGGTTGGGGACTAAGTGGCCTGGCACTTAGCCAGGATCTCACTGTGTGATCCCAAGTGAGACTCCAAGCCCATCCGCGTTCAGTCTCCTCTCGTATGCATCTGTAAGAGGCGGGCATGAGACACGGTTTGCAGCCTTCAGACTGTGCTTCTTCGAGCCTCTGGATTCTTGGAAGAGCCCCAGGTGCCTCTCTGCAGGTGGAGAAGAAGGCTGCCGTGGGGGGCCTGGGTGGCTCAGTCGGTTGCGTGTCTGACTTCAGCTCAGCTCATGATATCTTGGTTTGTAAATTCGAGCCCCACGACAGGCTCTGTGCTGACAGCTCAGAGCCTGGAGCCTGCTTCGGATTCTGTCTCCCTCTTTCTCTGCCCCTCCCCTGCTTGCTCTCTGTCTCTGTCTCTCTCTTGCTCAAGAATAAATAAACATAGACTTTCGCTTAGGTCATGATCTTGCAGTTCGTGGGTTCGAGCCCCGCGTCGGGCTCTGTGCTGACTGCCAGCTCAGAGCCTGGAGTCTGTTTCAGAGTCTGTGACTCCCTCTCTCTCTGACCCTCCCCTGCTCATGCTGTCTCTCTCTCTCTCCTAGAAATAAATAAAACATTAAAAAAAATAAATAAACATAGAAAGAAGAAGAAGGTGGCACATTCCACTTTTTAAAAACATTTTTAAGGGGCGCCTGGGTGGCTTAGTCGGTTAAGCGTCCAACTTTCGCTTAGGTCATGATCTCGCGGTTCGTGGGTTCGGGCCCCACGTCGGGCTCTGTGCTGACTGCCAGCTCAGAGCCTGGAGCCTGTTTCAATCTGTGACTCCCTCTCTCTCTGACCCTCTCCTGCTCACGCTGTCTCTCTCTCTCTCTCCTAGAAAAAAAAAATTTTTTTTAAAGTTTACTTATTTATTTTGAGAGAGACAGAGAGAGCGCACGAGTGGGAAAGGGCAGAGAGAGAGAGAGAGAGAGAATCCCAATCCCACACTGTCAGTGTGGAGCCTGATGCAGGGCTCGAACCCATGAACCATGAGTTCACGACCCAAACGGAAACCAAGAGGCAGATGCTTAACCGACTGAGCCACCCAGGTGCCCTATGGGACCATTCTACTTTTATAAGTTCAAATGTGGGCACCCGAGGGAGGTGTTTGGAGAGAGTTCCCTGGTAGATTAGACGGAGGTCAGTAGCAGCTCCGGCTTGGAGATGCTGATTCTTTTTTTTTTTATTTTTTTTTATTTTTATTTATTTCTAGGAGAGAGACAGCGTGAGCAGGGGAGGGTCAGAGAGAGAGGGAGACACAGACTCTGAAATAGGCTCCAGGCTCTGAGCTGGCAGTCAGCACAGAGCCCGACGGGGGCTCGAATCCACGAACCGCGAGATCATGACCTAAGCGAAAGTCGGACGCTTAACCGACTAAGCCACCCAGGCGCCCCTTGGAGATGCTGATTCTTAACCCCGAACCATTTCCTTTTGTCTCCCTGAACGCACACCTCCGGGAAAACGTTCCTTGATCTCCCAACAGTTGTCCCACCCCTAGCCCTTAATCCAATTTTTTTTTAAGTTTATTTAATTTTAAGAGAGAGCAAGAGAGTGCACAAGGAGCAGAGAGAGAGGGAGAGAGAGAATTGCAAGCAGGCTTTGCACTGTCAGCACAGAGCCCGGCATGGAGCTCGAACTCACGAAATGCAAGATCATGACCTGAGCCGAAATTCAGAGTCGGATGCTTAACCGACTGAGCCACCCAGGTGTCCCCCTTAATCCTACTCTTGAATCCTGTGTCTGTGTGTGTGTGTGTGTGTGTGCGCGCGCGCGCGCATGCCTGTGTTTTCTCCTCCAATCACAGGGTCTGATCAGTCCTCTGTCCCCACAGGGACCTCCAAGATGTGTCCAGTCTGCTCTTTGCTGGGAAACTGCACCGAGATGGCCTGTCCTCCCACCAAGGACGCCTGCGTGTTTGGCCAGATGGAGCTGGGTGGGGGGACCAGACAGGGGCTGGGCGGGGGTCCAACAAAGAGGTGGGCGGGGGCGGGGGCGGGGGGCGGGGCATGGAAGAACCACCCTGGGACTGAAGGTTGCAAACTTTGGACTCTTTGCTCAGCTCAGTGCTGCTGGGGTGGGGGTGGGGGGCTGGGGTGGCTTCAGTGCCAACTGAGGTCCCAGACTGACCTCTGGGGATTGCTACGGAGCGGACAGAGGTCCGGGAGGGGGTAGGAGTCTCTAATCTCCCCCTCCTCAACCTCTATCCCCAGAAAATGGGAATCTCATCAAGAATGGCTCGTGTGTAGCCCCTGGGGAATTCCAAGAAGGCATCTACACCGTGACCTACGGCCCCCACTCGAGTCTCTGCACGGCCTGTTGTGTAAACAGCCATGGCAGGGCCACCCGACAAGGTTTGTTGGCAGCGCTTGGGGGTCGCGCCCTCAGGAAGGGTGTTGTGGGGGCTTGGCCTTGATTTTCCCGCTCTGCCTGGCTGACCTCAGTTCTCATCTGGAAAATGGGCGTGAAAGAAGCTTTGCAGGGGGTGCCTTGGAGCCCACGGCCGGCATGGAGCAGGCACTGCAAAAATTGTAGTTGTACTCACTGAGTTATTGGGGGGCTGGAGAGGAGACCCAGAATTTTATTTCTCCTTGGGAAAGGAGCTCCCTTGAGGGCTAGCCAAGCAGAGCAAGAAATGTACAGGGAGTGATGGGCTTGGGCTAGGGTGGGCCAGCGAGCCCCCAGGGTGCAAATTTTAAGGAAGCATTTACTTTCAGGTGCTGATTCTGCACTTGGGTGACCTTGAGAGTGAGCGCCTTCTCGCTGGCCTTACTCCAGACCTGGCTCTGAGCAGTGATAAAGATCACTTTTGCTGCTTGGTTATTTTTCCAAAGAAGGCATTTGCGTTTGCAGGTGTGGCAACGGAGAGACCCTAGACAGCTCCACGTCAAGGTTACTGGCCAGACTTTCAAACAACTGGGGTTTCCACTCCTCCTAAAAATCGTGTTTCTCCTCAAATAAAATAGCTGGTGAGACGTGGGCATGCCATTCAGTCTGTAAATGCCAGCTATGATTATAACTGTGTGTAACAAAAATTCCTATGTGTAGGGAAACATCAAAGGGACTCTCTCGGAATACTCTGAGTGACCGTCTGGTGGTGAATAGATTGCAGCGCTCGCTGCCTAGGAGAAAAATGTAACGGGAGCCATAGCTGTAATGAAAACTCTCCGAGTAACCACGTTAAAAAGTGCAAAAAAAAAAAACCCAGCCGAAATTAATTTTAATGATGTATTTTATTTAAGATAACATATCTAAAATATTATTCTGACATGTAATGATTTTTGAATTTTAAAATCATGGGGTGCCTGGGTGGCTCAGTCAGTTAAGCGTCTGACTTTGGCTCAGGTCATGATTTCAAGGTTCATGAGTTTGAGCCCCGCATCAGGCTCTGCGTTGACAGCACAGAGATTCTGTGTCTCCCTCTCTCTCTTCCCCTTCCCGGCTTGTGCTCTCTCTGTCTCTCAAAAATAAATAAACATTAAAAAAAGTTTTTTTAATTATATTGATTTTATATGATCAATATAAAATTATTGATGAGGTATTTTATTTTTTTAAACTAAGCCTCTGAAACCTAGGGTTATTTTATACTCATAGGACATCTCAAAGGGAACCTATCACATTTCTTTTTTTTTTTTTTTTAATGTTTATTTATTTTTGAGAGAGAGAGACAGAGTGTGAATAGGGGAGGGGCAGAGAGAGAGTGAGACACAGAATCTGAAGCAGGCTCCAGGCTCTGAGCTGTCAGCTGTGAGCCCGATGCGGGGCTTGAACTCACCAACTGTGAGATCATGACCTGAGCCAAAGTCGGACGTTTAACCAACTGAGCCACCCAGGTGCCCCCATTTCTTTTTTTTTTTTTTTATCTGCCACTCCTTTTCACCCATTTTTCCCACCCTCTACCCACCTCCCCACTTTTTAAAAAATTATTATTTATTTGTTTGTTTATTTATTTATTTATTTTAGAGAGGGAGAGAGAGAGCACAACCTGGGGAGAGGGGCAGATGGAGAGAGAGAGAGGCCACATCTTCTTTATCCATTCACCTATGGATGGACACTTGGGTTGTCTCCGTATCTTGACCTTTGTAAATAATGCTGCAATAAACATAGGGGCACCTCTATCTTTTCAAATTAACGTTTTCGCTTTCTTTGGGTAAATACCCAGTAGTCGAATTGCTGGATCGCATGAGAGTTCAAGTTTTAATTTTTTGAGCAACCTCCATACTGTTTTCCACAGCAGCTGCACCAGCTTATGCTCCTACCAGCAGTGCACGAAGGGAACCCGCCATATTTCGAGAGCTCAGTTGCTACAGGTGCACCGGGCCCACGCGCTAGCCAGGGCAGCTCTGTGGTCCTCTCGTCTTTGATGTACTTTCCAGTATTTGCCACTATTGCAACATAAATCACACTCAGAGTGAGTCGTGGCTTAGCTGTGATGCACAAAATATCTGTTAGAGCAGCTTCCTCTTAAATGTTTCAGATCTCTAAGAAAGCTCTGAAATCAATCAAATGGTAGAGAGCCCCCGAGTCCAGAACATCACGATATCTTTTTTTTTAATTTTTTTTTTATGTTTTATTTATTTCTAGGAGAGAGAGAGAGAGACAGCGTGAGCAGGGGAGGGTCAGAGAGAGAGGGAGTCACAGACTCTGAAACAGCCTCCAGGCTCTGAGCTGGCAGTCAGCACAGAGCCCGACGCGGGGCTCGAACCCACGAACCGCGAGATCATGACCTAAGCGAAAGTCGGACGCTTAACCGACTAAGCCACCCAGGCGCCCCAAGAACATCACGATATCTTAACACCTAAAATAACAGGATTACTTTTTTTTTTCAGGATGACTTTTCATTTTTATTATTTAATTTTATGGTTTTATTTATTTAATTTTATTTTAATTACTTTATTATTTTAAAATTTTTGGAATTCAGGGTGTTCAAAGGAGAGCTTTTGTCTGTGCGGTCAGTGCCAGATCTCTAGAACAGGGCCCAGCGCACAGTAGGTGCTCAAGAAAGTTTGAGGAATGAGTAAAGGAACCCACAGGATCTAGCCTGAAGGTTTTAGAATAAAGGACCGGTGTGGGGTGGTCCCACCTTCATCTGTGTCTGTTGCTCTTCAGAATACATCTTCAGGGTTTGGAAGGAGGTGGCTGTGACCAGGCTGGTCCCACTTTGGAGGAAAATGCTCTGGATTGTGGTGGTGGTGGCAGCGGCGAGAACAAGAGGGCTGGTGGGGGCAGGATGGGGGGCGTGTTCACCCTTCACCCCACACTGACCACATCCACTCCTCCCAGAGGCAGGGCCGGAAGCCCAGCACAATGGAGTGAAATGTCCCTACTGTTCTGGGAATACATCAGCTTCATGTGACCCCCTTTCGGTCATGAACTGCAACGGGGACCAGACTATGTGTCTCACCCTCAATGGGACATGGAATGGAGGTAAGGGTTCTTCCCTTCAGGAGGTCCTTGCGTGGTGAGCCTCTCTGCAACCTGCACAAACAAGTCTTGAGATTCATTTGCATGTGTGTTTTGGTCACCTATTGCTGTTTAGCAAATCGCTCACAAATGCAGCAGCTTAAAATAATAACCCTCATTTTATTAACTTTTTTTAATGTTTATTTTTTGGGGAGAGAGAGAGAGAGCAGGGAGGGGCAGAGAGAGAGGTGGACAGAGGATTTGAAGCAGGCTCTGCACTGACAGCAGAGAGCCCGATGTGGGGCTTGAACTCACGAACCATGAGATCATCATGACCCAAGCCAAAGTCAGATGTGTTTAACCAACTGAGTCACCCAGGTGCCCCATTTTATTAACTCTTATAGTTAATGTGCGTTGGGAATTACAGAAGACTTACCTGGATGGTTCTGAGTTTCTCACGGAATCACAGTCAGAGTGTGGCCAGAGCTAGAACTGAGCAACTAGGGGTTTGCTGAGCCTCTCACACATGTAGACTCTGGGCCTTTCCAAGGTGGTTTTTCCACATTGGTTAGAGTGGGCTTCCTCACAGCATGGCCGCCTTAGGGCTTGTTATATGCTGGCTAAAGATCTCAGTACTGACTAGTACAGCAAACAGTGCAGTGGCAGGGGCTAGTTAGGCATCTCTCTCTCTCTTCACATAATCGTAGAGCCTCTCTATATGGTATCTCCACATTCGTTAGATTGGGCTTCCCCACATCATGGTGGCCATCACCTTTGCATGGTGACTGAAGACTTAGAGCAAGTATTCCAGCAAACAAAATGGCAGCTGCCCGGTCTTACACGAGCTAGCCTTGGAAGTCACATGATGTCATTCTACCATGATTTGTTGGTTGAAGTGGTCACAGAAGTCCATCTGGTTTTGATGTGGTTCTTGAGCAAATGGCTAAGAAAGAATTCTTGAGATGTCTTTGGTGCAAAAAGGTGATTTTGTTAAGACACAGGGATAGGACCCGTGGCAGGAAGAGCTGCACTGGGGTAGCTGATTTTATATTTTTAGGTTTGTGGAGGGAGAAGGAGAGAGATAAAATAAGTCTCTAAGGAATTTGGAAGCATGGCTTCCAGGACCTTGAGGGGCTAGCTGCTATTAAGACGAGGTTATTTTTTTTTTATGTTTGTTATTTTTTATTTTTGAGAGAGAGACAGAGCACAAACAGGGGAGAGGAAGAGAGAGAGGGAGACACAGAATCTGAAGCAGGCTCCAAGCTCTGAGCTGTCAGCACATAGCCCAACGCGGGGCTTGAACTCATGAACCGTGAGATCATGACCTGAGGCAAAGTCAGTGCTCAAATGACTGAGTCACTCAGGCGCCCCGAGATAAGGTTACTTTTAATAAAACATAAACATGAAGGGACTAAGGCAGCCATGAGTCCCTTGAGGAAGGTCATACTCACGTTTCAGGTGTCTATCAGTGGGCTACAAGCTCAAAGGAGATTTAATTTGAGCTACATTTCTCTTGCCTTTGTTTCCCTCATCAGTTTCAAGAAGAGGACACTTAGACCCTCACTTCTTGATGTGTCAAAGAATTTGCAGATGTATTTAAAAATCACCCCTATGCGTTTGCAAATGGTTGGAGCAGAGGCTTTTTGAGCGAAAGGCTTGGAATAGAACATAGACTCACTATTAGGCCAACAAAGCGACAGGGAGGAATGGTCTGGGCTTCTGCTCCTGGTAGACCTGAGCCTCCAGAAAGGTCTTCCTGTGACAAACAGTGGCATACTGGGAAGGTGTGAGGTAAGGGAGGGGGGACATGAGTGGTAGGCGTGGTCTGCTCTGGGGGCAGGGGTACTTTATCACTGCCATTGTTTGGAAACGCTGGAATAGGGTGATACAAAGAAGCAGACTGATGTTTAGTTAGTTTTATAATAATAATTATTCTTATTGTAAAATGTTTATTAATTTTGAGAGAGAGAGAGCTCCAGCAAAGGAGGGGCAAAAAGAAAGGGAGAGAGAATCCCAAGCAGAGCCCAACATGGGGCTTGATCTCACAAACTGTGAGATGGTGACCTGAGCTGAAATCAAGAGTTGGACGCTTAACCAACTGAGCCACCCAGGTGACCGTTATATTTTTTTTTAAGTAAGCTCTCTGCCCACCATGGAGCTTGAACTCAGCTCTCCAATATCAAGAGTTGCGTTCTCTACAGACTGAGCCAGGCAGGCTCCCCTAGTCAGTTTTATTTTGTTTTTATTTATTTATTTATTTATTTATTTTAAATATTTTTAAACATTTATTCATTTTTGAGAGACAGAGCATGAGCTGGGGAGGAGCAGAGAGAGAGACGCACACAGAATCCGAAGCAGGCTCCAGGCTCTGAACTAGCTGTCAGCACAGAGCCCGACGCGGGGCTCGAACCCACAAACCGCGAGATCATGACCTGAGTCGAAGTCAGACGCTTAACCAACTGAGCCACCCAGGCGCCCCAGTTTTATTTTGTTTTTAAATGCTCTGTGGACAATATACCCCCTTATAGCCGGCTAGCGTTATCATCCCTCTTGGTAGGCCATTATTTACAGTTGAACTAGATGTAAAAAAATATTTCTCCAGGGGCGCCTGGGTGGCTTAGTCGGTTAAGCGTCCGACTTTCGCTTAGGTCATGATCTCACGGTTCGTGGGTTCGAGCCCCGCGTCGGGCTCTGTGCTGACTGCCAGCTCAGAACCTGGAGCCTGTTTCAGTCTGTGACTCCCTCTCTCTCTGACCCTCCCCTGCTCATGCTGTCTCTCTCTCTCCTAGAAATAAATAAAACATTAAAAAAAAAAAAAAGAAAAATATTTCTCCATGCTTTGGGGGGCTTATAGGAAGTTAGGAAAATTTCCAAGCGTCCCCCAAACAAAATAAAAATGTGAGCAGAATTCAGAATAAGAGCAGTAAGCAAACATAAAAGGCACAGTGACCCTGAGAACAAATGCTGATCACACCCTGCTTTGGGTGCTAGGTCTTGGGTCCACAGCATGGCTGGGGAGCTGACTCTTAGAGCCCCACATAAGCCAGTAACCTTGGAAGGAGACCGATATGATCCCAGGTTGGTAGTACCTCCTAGTTAGTATAAGTGAACGTAAATCCTGTCCAATGAAAAGCCACCAGGATAACCCTCTCCCTGCTTAAGATTAACATCAACCAAATATGAGCTCACAATCAGAGCTCATGAAATACACAAGGGAACAAGCCACCATGAGTGAGAGCAGAAGCAACAAATGAGATCAGACTCATGAGGAGCTATTGCAATTATCAGCTACAGAATGTAACCATATGTGGTATATTTGAAGGAATAAAAGTAGAATCACAAAAATGAGCAGGTATCAAGAGGTTATAAGAAATGACTGGGCAGATTTGACAATGAATCATATACAACTATCAAGAGAGATGAGAGCTTTCAGACCTAGTGAAAGTCAGACTCAGGCTCTGGCTCTGAGTCTCCCCCTGCCGCTTCCCCCTGTTTCTGCAGGGGGTCCCCAAATCCTGAAGGGCTGTGCTACCCCAAATGTCTGCCACCTGCAAGTGAACACCACCCTGGGGCCGGAAGCTTCTGGATTTCGTCTCATCAGCCAGCCTGAATGCAACTATGTGGTTACACCCACCCAGCCAGGTACTTTGAACTCTGACTTGCTGAGATTCTACCTTCTCTGCCCTTCTTAGATCCCATGTGCCCTTCCCAATCCTATGTGTTTCCAGGGTTTCCCCTCCCACTCCCCATATGCTCTCAGGGCACGCAGTTACCCTTATAAGCTCACAGACGCACGTGTGCACACCCGCGTGCACATCACTTAACACACCTGGAAGCAGAAAATCCGACTGGCATCCATACATTCACCAATATCTTCATCTGTATCTCAGCACCCTAAACACATGTACAGAAGAGCACGCATTTCTTTTCTTTTTCTTTTTAAAATTAAAAAAAATGTTTATTTATTTTTGAGAGAGATAGAGATAGACTGCAAGTGGGCAGGAGGGGCAGAGAGAGGGAAACACAGAATCTGAAGCAGGCTCCAGGCTCTGAGCTAGCTGTCAGCACAGAGCCTGACGCGGGGCTCGAATCCACGAACCGCAAGATCATGACCTGAACTGAAGTCAGACACTTAAAAGACTGAGCCCCCCAGGTGCCCTGAGGAGTACGGAGTATGCATTTCTAAACACAAGCATCCTTTCATGTAAATAAGATTAGAGATACAAACTCTGTTGAAATAAGAAATCTAACAGTCTTTTTCTTTCTTTCCTTCACTTCCTTGCTTGTGAAAGAAGACAGATTTGCCAAAAGTTTGGCAATTTGGCTTAACAAAAGAACACAGATAGTAAGTTTTGTCTTCCAGAAAAGAGAAATGCTAATTGAGATAGCACTGACCAGGGCAATAGCTTTTTTTTTTTTTTTAAATATTTTTATTTATTTCTAGGAGAGAGAGAGAGAGAGACAGCGTGAGCAGGGGAGGGTCAGAGAGAGAGGGAGACACAGACTCTGAAACAGGCTCCAGGATCTGAGCTGGCAGTCAGCACAGAGCCTGACCCGGGGCTCGAACCCACAAACCGCGAGATCATGACCTAAGCGAAAGTCGAGACTAAGCCACCCAGGCGCCCCAGGCAATAGCTTTTTTAAAGGAAGATGACAGAACAGAATCACAGATGTTTCAGAGGAGAGAGAGGCAATTTTCAAATCTGGATAGAGCTGCCTTCCCTGGGCTCCAGGGACATGGAAACATCAGTCTTAAGGAGGCTCCACAATGAGCGTGGAGCTCAACGAAGGGCTCAGTCCCACGAACTGTGAGATCATGACCTGAGCTGAAACCAAGAGTCGGACACTTGGGGGGCGCCCCTCGGGGAGTTTCACTTTTATTTTTAATTAATTAATTTAAAAAATTTTTATGTCTTAATTTTATTTTGAGAGACAGAGACAGAGTGAGTGTGGGAAGGGCAGAGAGAGAGAGGGAGACACAGAATCTGAAGCAGGCTCCAGGCTCCCAACTGTCAGCACAGAGCCCGACACGGGGCTCAAACCCACGGACTGTGAGATTATGATCTGAGCTGAAGTCGGACCCTTAACCCACTGAGCCACCCAGATGCCCCAGGAGTTTTACTTTTAAAAAGTAAACAGTGGGTTCAATGAATGATCACCATGAAGAAAAGGACCCAGGGGCTCAGCATTTACAATATGGAAGGAGAAGGGTGCTTGAGTGGCTCAGTGGATTGAGCATCCAACTCCGGCTCACGTCATGATCTCACGGCTGGTGGGTTCGAACCCTGCGTCGGGCTCTGTGCTGACAGCTCATAGCCTGAAGCCTGCTTCAGATTCTCTGTCTCTCTGTCTCTCTGCCCCTCCCCCGCTTGTGCTCTGTCTCTGTCTCAAAAATAAATAAACTAAAATAAATATGGAAGGGGAAAGGGCTAAGTAGGCTAACTAACAACTGGAACACAAGGCATGGAATGTCTGCATACGCAGTCCCTCCGACGTGTAACATATCCATGCAGGGGCTCATCAGTTGCTGGATCCATGCACGTGGACAGGCACAAACACACAAACATATGAAAGTACAAAATATACACAGACGTGCTGAAACACTCTGCCAACATTCACAGACATGCACATCTGTACTCCAGATATATATCCAAGCCCCCTAAACCTTGTTGGGAGCACAGACACACCCAGACCCACAAAATCAGCCTTTTCTATATACACATAAACATGTGCTCTGTTCACACGGAGATGTAGACACCTTCTCACACAGGGATGCCGCACAGAAATGACCCCGCCCTTCCACAGACAGTTCCAGAACACACAGAGTTCAACACGGGCACACACAGCCCCGTGTGTGCTCAGGGAAACAGGCCTGAGTGCTTGGGTACTCAGACTACATCGCTGTAGAGGTGCACATGCACTGATGTGCCCAAAACTACACACACACACACACACACACACACACACAGCGGTTACTCACCAGCCGGCTCGTCTCTCTCTCTCTCTCTCATCAGGTCCCCCTGCAACCACAACTCTGACCACGGATAGGGTCACTGTCTGTTTCACCTGCTCAGGACTCAATGATTGTGACGCTGTCTTCTGCCCAGCAGATCGAAACTACTGCCTTCAGACAACAGGTGTCATAGGTGAGTGTCCCGGGGGATAGGATCGGCTGGGGGTGGGGGCAGAAACGGGGCCTGAGGCTCACCAAGATCTCTCTGTGCCCCCTCTGTTTGCTGCCTTGACTCTGGCCATGGCAGCCTTTTCCTGGCCGTGGAGGACAGAGGCTAGCTTCAGCGGAGTAGGTGAATTTAAGATGTGATGCCACACGAGGCCGCCTGGGTGGCTCCGTCAGTTAAGCATTCAACTTTGGCTCAGGTCATGATCTCACGGTTCGTGGGTTGGAGCCCTGCGTCGGGCTCTGTGCTGACAGCTTGGAGCCTGGAGCCTGCTTTGGATTCTGTGTCTCCATCTCTCTCTGCCCTTTCCCGGCTCATGATGTGTCTGTCTGTCTCTCTCACAAAAATAAATAAACATTAAAAAAATGTTTTAAGCAAATAAAATGTTAAAAAAAAAAGATGATGCCACATTTGTTATAGATACTTACTGCTGAATAACAAATCAGCTTAAGATGTAGTGGCTTAGGGGCGCCTGGGTGGCTTGGTCGGTTAAGCGTCCAACTTTCGCTTAGGTCATGATCTCGCGGTTCGTGGGTTCGAGCCCCTTGTCGGGCTCTGTGCTGACTGCCAGCTCAGAGCCTGGAGCCTGTTTCAGTCTGTGACTCCCTCTCTCTCTGACCCTCCCCTGCTCACGCTGTCTCTCTCTCTCTCTCCTAGAAATAAATAAAACAAAAAACAAAAAACAACAACAACAAAAAGATGTAGTGGCTTAACCAGTTACAAAAGAACAAATACAGTATGACTCCTCTTAGAGAAACCTAGAGTAGTCGAAATAACAGAATGCTGCTACTTTTAGTATTACAAAATGAAAACGTTCTAGAGACCTGTTACATAACCATGTAAATATAGTTAACATTACTAATGTACACTTAAAAATGCCTAAGAGGATAAATTTTTTATTATGTGTTTTTTTGGGGGGGCACAATTTAAAAAAACATTGTGGCTTAAAAACAATGACTTATGGGATGCCTGGGTGGCTCAGTCGGTTAGGGTTTTGGCTTCAGCTCAGGTCATGATCTAGTGGTTCATGGGTTCGAGCCCCACGTCGGGCTCTGTGCTGACAGCTCACAGCCTGGAGCCTGCTTCGGATTCTGTGTCTCCCTCTCCCTCTGCCCCTCCCCCATGTGTGCTCTATATCTCTCTGTCTCTCAAAAATAAATAAATGTAAAACTTAACCGGCTCAACTGACTGATCCACCCAGGCGCCCCTTGAGTCAAGTGTCTTGATGAACAGTGACAGGCTTTGAGTGTATTAGGGTGGAATTTCAGGCGACGTGAATGCCAACAATGACACCCAGAGGGATTTGTGGGCTTCTAGGGAGAGCATGGCTTATGGCTGCCTTTCCCCTAAGCCTGCCCTCCACATCTCTCCAGCCTTAGGCAAAGGTGGCTTTCATGCCTGGAGAAAGGGTTCCTGTGTGGCCCCCAAGGACTGCAGATTCGGCAGCTCTGTCTCTGCCTTCACCTACAACGTTGACTTTGGCTTCTGGATCAACTCCACCTGTTGCCAAGGCAACTGCCAAGCACCTGCTCCTCCCGGTATGCTGCCCCCGGAAAGCAGTCATGGGGTGGCTGAGGATGTGGTGGGGTGACTTTGGAGGAGAGTTTGTCCTGAGTCGAGGAAGGCAGACAGGCGGGAGCCTCCCCAGTCCGCAGCCAGGCTGCCTGAAGGCACCCTGACCCCAGCTCATCGGGAAATCCCAACAAGGTCATTCCCCTGTGGGAGAGCCTGTAAGTGCACAGAGGGTCCTGGAGGTCCTGACTGTCACCTGCCCCTGTACAGAAGTTCTGCCAGTGTCACACGCCATGAGCGAGTTCCTGTGTCCTACATGTCCTAGTGGCCACCTGGGGCTCTGCAATTCCTCCTTCTACATGCAGTGTCCCGTCGGGGAGACTGAATGTGTCCAGCTGGACCTGGTGCCTATAGAAGGTAACATACACATGTGTATGTGCATGCGCGTGCCCGCGAGCGAGCCCGAGTGCATTGGTTTTGGATTCAGGCACTGCTTGAGTTTGGGATCTCTAACTCATAAGACTGCTGTGGGTGGGGTGCCTGGGTGGCTTAGTCGGTTAAGCGTCCGGCTTTCGCTTAGGTCATGATCTCGCGGTTTGTGGGTTCGAGCCCCGTGTCGGGCTCTGTGCTGACTGCCAGCTCGGAGCCTGGAGCCTATTTCAGAGTCTGTGTCTCCCTCTCTCTCTGACCCTCTCTCTCTCCTAGAAATAAATAAAAATATTAATAAAAAAAAAAAGACTGCTGTGGGAATCAGGGGCGGCTGGGTGGCTCAGTCAGCTGAGCGTTCGACTTTGGCTCAGGTCACCATCTCACCGTCTGGCTTGTGAGTGTGAGCCCCTCCTTGGGCTCACTGCTGTCAGTGGGAGCCTGCTTGGGGTCCTCCGGCTCCCTCTCTCTCTCTCTCTCTGTCCTTCCCCGGCTAGCTAGCGCACGTATGAGCTCTCTTTCTCAAAAATAAATAACCTTTTAAAAGACTATTGTGGGAATTAAATAAGATAATCCATGAGACTTCTGGAAGAGTGCCGTCCAAAAGGAATACGACTTAAGCCACGTGTAGAATTTAAATTTTCCGGGTAGCCACATTAAAAAGTAAAAAGTAGGAGTGCCTGGGTGGTTCAGGTGGTTAAGCGGCTGACTTCAGCTCAGGTCATGATCTCACGGCTCGTGAGTTTGAGCCCCGTGTCGGGTTCTGTGCTGATAGCTAGCTCAGAGCCTGGAGCCTGCTTTGGATTTTGTGTCTCCTTCTCTCTCTCTTCCCTTGCCCTGCTCATGCTCTGTCTCTCAAAAATAAATACATGTTAACAATTTTTTAAAATAAAAAATAAAAAGTAAAAAGTAATAGATGAAATTAATTTAGTAATTTTTTAATTTACCCCACTATATTCAACAGTTGTAATTTTCAACATGCGATCAATGTAAGAAATTATAAACGATATATCTTACATTCTTCTTTTTTTCTTTTTTCTTTTTTGGCTACTAAGCCTTTGGAATCAGGTGTGGATTTTATATTCACAGCACCTTTCAGTTCAAACCAGCCACAGCTCTCGTGGGCTTGGCTACTATATACACATACAGCTCAGTGGCCATATGTGGCTTGTGGCTACTGGATTGGAAATTCGAGATAGTAAGTGCATTTCAGTGAATCTAAGACCATCATGGCTTTGTGAGGAAATATACTCCAGTTCAGGGCATATTGAGACAAACTACACACTCTCCTATGAGGCTTACATTTCTTTGTAACATTTTTTAAAAAATATTTTTATTTATTTCTAGGAGAGAGAGAGAGAGACAGCGTGAGCAGGGGAGGGTCAGAGAGAGAGGGAGACACAGACTCCGAAATAGGCTCCAGGCTCCGAGCTGGCAGTCAGCACAGAGCCCGACGTGGGGCCTGAACCCACGAACCGCGAGATCATGACCTAAGCGAAAGTCGGACGCTTAACCGACTAAGCCACCCAGGCGCCCCTCTTTGTAACATTTTTTAAAAAGTTTATTTATTTATTTTGAGAGAAAGAGTGTGCGTGCAGGGGAGGGGCAAGAAGGGAGGGGAAAGAGAGAATCCTAAGCAGGCTCTGCGCTCTCAGTGAGAAAGAGCCCAAGCAAGGATCAAACTCACGAACTGAACCGTGAGCTCATGACCTGAGCCAAAACCAAGAGTCATGTTTAACTGACTGAGCCACCCAGGCGCTGCCCCAACTTTTTATTTTTTATTTTTTTATTAGGGAGAAAGTAAAAAATAAATAGATAGAAGAGTCAACAGTTTAATAAATCCCATATGCCCTTCACCCAACCCCAATAATTATCCACTCACGGCTAATCCTGCTTCCTCTCCACCCTCACCCCATATTATTTTGAATGCAGCCTCAGATATCATATCACATTAACCATAAGTATTTCCAAACATTTCTTTAAAAGATAAAGACTTAATGGGGCACCTGGGTGGCTCAGTCAGCTGAGCATCTGACTCCTGATTTCTGCTCAGGTCATGATCTCCAAGTTTGTGGGTTCGAGCCCCACATCTAGCTTTGTGCTGACAGTGCGGAGCCTGCTTCAGACTCTCTCTCTTCACCTCTCCCTGCCTATATGTTCACTTGCTCTCTCTCTCAAAATAAATAAATAGGGGGCGCCTGGGTGGCCCAGTTGGTTAGGCATCCGACTTCGCCTCTGGTCATGATCTCACTGTTCGTGGGTTCCGGCCTGCTTCCAGCTCTGTGCTGACAGCTCAGAGCCTGGAGCCTGTTTCAGATCTGTGTGTCCCTCTCTCTCTAACCCTCCCCCGCTCACTCTCTCTCTCTCTCTCAGAAATAAATAAAAATTTAAAATAAGTAAATAAACAAACTTAAAAAAACTTTAAAATATATATATAAAAGAATAACAATGAAAAGCACAGCTGTGACCAGGCTCCCGCTTGAGGATCTCAACATTTTCGGGGAGTTTTCCCGGAAGGACATGGATCTGAGGGCCTGTCATCCATCAGGGCTGGCCCGCTGCCATGTGTCCTGACGGATGTGACAGTCTGGGCGTTTAGGGAACCTCGGCGACTCAGGCAGATCCCGCGGGGCTGGCGGGAGTTGCCGGAAGTGAGCTTATTCTGGGGGCCCGGAAGCCTGGGCGAGGGGACAGGGGTGGGGGGAAGGGAGGTGGACGGGGGAGGAGGGGGGTGGCCCGGGGTGGCTTGTGACGGGAGGCTCACGTGGGCCCCGGGGACACCTGCCCGCGCGCATCCTCACCTGCGTTCTCACCCGCGTCCCCTCAGGCAGCTGGAACGTGACCCTGCGCGGCTGCGGCTCCCAGAACCTGTGCGGGGTCCCCGCCGCCACCACCAAGGGGCTGCTGACGTTTCCAGGCCACCGGCTGGCGCAGCGGCTCCACTGCAGCTCCAGCCAGCGCGCCGTCATGCAATCCCAGTGCCTCTCGGGCGCGCCGCCCGGCCTCCGCCTCGCCCTGTCCCTGCCGCTGGTGGCCCTGGGCTTCCTGGCCCTCTCCTGAGCAGTGCCGCCCCCGCCACCCTCGCTCGCCCCGCAGCCACTCAGCCCCGCTTGCTTCCCACCCCGCTAGATGGCTCCCTGGCTCCCCTCGACTTCCACGGTTCTAGGCCTGGAAGCTTCTGGTGAGAAAAGTCACAAGCCAGGGGTGAGCCTCCTCCCTCAGCCCAAGGGCTTCCCCAAGGCCCTCTTAACACCAGGGCCCGCCCTCGGACTAGGGACTAGCCTCCCTCAGACCTCCGTGGACACACATCCTTCATGGGGGCGGGGGCGGCAAAGACTAATCCTCTTTCCTCAAGCTAGGGGCTCTCCAACACCAGGCCGCTCCCTTAGACTAGGGCTGGGTCTCTTTTCTAGAACATTGGGAAACAGCTCCTTCTGGCTTCCTCTTCAGGGTTTAGCAAAGTCCTGGACAGCTCCCTCTGCCTGGAACCCCCCATCCACACCCCACACATCCGCTTGGCCCTCTGCTCAGATGTCACCTCCCTCAGACATCTCATAAAAAAAAAAAAAAAAAAAAAAGACCTACCCCTTCTGCAGCCTTCCCATTTCTCTTCCCTGCACTGGGTTTATTATGTGCCTCCCCCACTAGAACCTAAACCCTCCTGAGAGCAGAGAGTTTTCTTTACTATGCACACTCAGTGTCTAGAACTGGGCTTGACGCCGCATATCGCATGTGATCAATAAATATTTGTCCAATTCATGCCGTGCGAATGCTCTCCGTTCTTTTTGTCGGACTTTGTATTACTTTCAGCCAAAAGCAAGTGGTTCCTGGCATTCTTCGTCCTGTTGAGTACCACCCCCAATCCTCACCTCACTGCTACATCCTCTGGGTCCAATGCTGGCTCTAAAGTGACACTCACGGGGCACCTGGGGGCTTGGTCACTTGAGCACCTGATTTCTGCTCAGGTCATGACCTTGCAGTTCACAAGTCCGAGCCCCGCATTGGACAGACACCAGAGCCTGGAGCCTGCTTCGGATTCTGTGTGTCCCTCTCTCTCTGCCCCTCCCCTGCTCACGCTCTTTCTCTCTCAAAAAGAAATAAACATTAAAAAAAGAAGAAATGCAGATTCTCAGGACCCACTCCAAACTACATTTTATTTATTTTTTTTTTAATTTTTTTTAATGTTTTATTTATTTTTAGGAGAGAGAGAGAGAGAGACAGCGTGAGCAGGGGAGGGTCAGAGAGAGAGGGAGTCACAGGCTGAAACAAGCTCCAGGCTCTGAGCTGGCAGTCAGCACAGAGCCCGACGCGGGGCTCGAACCCACGAACTGCGAGATCATGACCTAAGCGAAAGTCGGACGCTTAACCGACTAAGCCACCCAGGCGCCCCTCCAAACTACATTTTAAAAACTAAACTAAACTAAACTAAACTAAAATAAACTAAAATAAAAACACTGATTCCAGACTGAACATTTGCTCTTATGCCCACCCTGGCTCCTAGACACTGTCATCTATAGGTCCCCTCAGGTCCCAGAATCCCCAGAGGAGAGAGAATAGACCACATCAAGGCCCTATTTGAAGCGTCCAGGTCAGAAGAAGGAAATCCAAACCACTTGGTATTGTGGGATGCAATTCATTCAGATTTGGTTATAGAGGGAGTAGGAATTTAGGGATGGCCTTGCTTCTGCCCCATGACGCGTACCAGCTGGGGTGGTTTGAGGCCATCTGGAGGTGCGTACACTCACAACTCTGACAGTTGATGGGGGCTGCTGGCTGAGACCTTTGGCGGGGATATGTGTAGCTGGACACCTCCAGGGAGCTTCACTGCATGGCTTGGACTTGCTCACAACATGCGATCTTGCCCTGTGGGGGGTAGAGTTCTAAGCATCCCCGTCACCACCAATTTCCACCCTAATCCCCGGGCCCCTGAGGGTGATGAGATACAACATGTGTGACAATATGTGACATGCCCAAAGGGATTTGCAGATGTAATCAGATGTAATTAGATTTGTAGATGATGAGTTGATTTTGAGATCATCAAAGAGGTGATCAGGGAGGGGGTGAGGGGGAGCGTGGTGCTTCATCTACTCACATAAGCCCTTGAAAAGCAGAGAGTCTTCTCTGGCTGGTAGCAGAAGTCAGATGTGAAGCATGAAAAGGATGATGTAGCATTGCTGGTTTAAAGTTGGAGGGGGTATGTGGAAAGGACCCAGGAGCCACCCCCAGGGGCCAAGCGTGATCCCCAGCTGAGAGCCAGCAAGAACATAGAGACCTGTGTCCTACAGATGGAAGGAACTGGATTCTGCTAAGAACCGAGTGAGCCCGAAAGAGGACCCCAAGTCCCAGATAAGAGCCCAGCCCAGCCAAGACCTTGTTTCCAGCCTTGTGAGATCCTAAGCAGAAAACCCAGCCAAGCACACCCCTACTTTTGACCTCCAGAACTGTGAGATTCTTAACGGGCACTGTTTTAAGTGGATAAATTTGGGGTGATTTGTTACTCAGCCACAGATGGCCCTGGGTGAACATCCCAAGAGAGGGAAAGTGTGCTGCCCCTTATGACCTAGCCTTGGAGGTCGAAAAGCACCCCTTCTGCTATACTGTATTCATCTAGGTTCAAGGGAAGAGGAGACAGACTCTGCTCTTGTTGGCGAGCGACAGTCACAAGGTTCCATGGCAAGTGACAGTCACAAGGTTCCGAAAAGGCACGTAGGACTGGAAATACTGCTGTGGTCTTTTTTTTGGAGACATGCAGTCTCCATAGGAAGTACCCCCGAGACTAGCAAATGCAGGAAGCGGCTATCACCTCCAGGGCCGGGGAAGCCAAAGGGATCTGGTGGTCTCAGCACAAAGTGAGGGGCTGCGGGCGGCTTGTACTTGTACTGGAACCACGGATGGAGGGGGCTGTGTGGCCGGGGCTGGGGCCACACAGGAGGCGCCACAGCCACGGATGCTGCCAGAAGCAGGGGTGAGGGGAAGGCCCATTTTACCCCCTGGCTTGGAGCTCTTCCTGTTTGCAGAAGTCTGGTGGTGAAGGAGGCTGGGAAATGTGGTTTTAAAACTCCCCGCCTCAGCGTTACAGGGCAGAGAGGAGCGGACACAGAGGGACACTGAGGGATCCCAGGCAAATAACAATGACGTTGGGCAGATCCCTTCCTCTGTCTTAGCCCCAGTTTCCTCATCTGTAGAATGGGAGTAGCAATTGCTCCCGACAAGGGGAATGTCTATAGATGGTGTTTAACAGGTAATAAGCATTCGGTGAGTGGGAGTTGTTCAGATGCTGCTTGTCTTAGCTTAGGCGGCCATAACCAACCAACACAGACTCGGGCGACTTACACCACACATTTGCACACAGTTCTGGAGGGCAGGGTGTCAGAGTGGTTGGGCTTCGGTGAGGCCCCTCTTCCTGGTTGCCAGACCGACACTTCCTCACTGTGTCCTCGCATGGCAGAGACAGGGAGCCCATTCTGGTCTTTCCTCCTTTCCCACAAGGACACTAGTCCATCGTGAGGCCCCGCCCTCATGACCTCCTCTAAACCTAATTGAGGCTCCACTTCCAGATACCATCATCACACTGTGGGGCCAGGGCTTCAGCAGATGAATTTGGGTGGGGGAGGGTCGGGGACACGACAGTCAGTTCCTAACAGTGCTGGGAAGAAAAAGGAAGTACTATTGTGGTGAGGACCATGTTGGGTGTTTCATATCATTTATCTTACTTAATACCCTACGATGTAGGCATTATAGACGGTCATTCTGCAAGCGAGGACAAGGACCTCTGAGTCTACAACCTCAAGGTCATGCATCAAGTGAGGGACAGACCTCTGATCTATAACCTCAAGGTCACGCATCAAGAAGCTGGACTTGGGGTGTCTGGGTGGCTGAGTTGGTTAAACGTCTGACTCTTGGTTTCGGCTCAGGTCATGATCTCACAGTTCGTGGGTTCGAGCCCCGCATCAGGCTCTGTGCTGACAGTGCAGAGGCTGCTTGGGATTCTGTCTCCCTCTCTCTGTGCCCTTCCCCTACTTGCTCTCTCTGTATCTCTCTCTCTCTTTCTCTCATAAATAAATAAATAAACATAAAACATTTAAAGAAGGAAAAAGAAGCTGGACTCATCTGTGGCTACTGATTCATGATTCCTGTGGACTGAAGTGTCTCCAGGCCCAGTGCTGCAGGATGGGACGTCCTTGTAGGGACTCTGAAGTGAGGGCAGAAGCAGCATCATGGGTTGGTTCTGGGCAGAAGCTTAAGTAAGAGCCTGCTCTGTCCAGCATGATGTCCGTACGGCTCCAGACAGGATCTATCAGCCCGACCCGCAGTGGACTGTGCTGCTGGCGTAAGCCACCAAGATGAGGGGCTGTTTGTTGCTGGGGCATCACCTGGCCCATCCTGACCAGTACAGCGATCCCAAAGGGAACTGAAGGCAGACATGGGGCTAGAACCTTGGAACCCAAACCCTAGCCCTAGGGGGGATGGTAGGTCAAGGTCTCTGGGCTCAGACCCGGGTTTGTAGTGTGGCTTCACATGTTCTTTGTGGTGCGGCTTGAAAAGGTCTCATAACGTCTCTGATCTTTGTGGTCCCATTTGGAACAGGGAGATATTAATCGTTTGACCTCCAGGGGTGCCTGGGTGGCTCAGTCAGTTAGGCTTCCGACTCTTGGTTTTGGTTCAGGTCATGATCTCATGATTCGTGGGTTCGAGCCCCACGTGGGGTTCCCGACCTGCTTGGGATTCTTTCTCTCTCTGCCCCTCCCCCATTTGTTTTCTCTCTCTCTCTCTCAAAATAAATAAACTTAAAAAAAATAGTTTGACCTGTTTTGATTGGAAGTAGTCACCTTGTAGGGTGTTAATCACCATGACAGCTGTACTATTTTTCACTCACATTGTGTAAAAGAGGAAACTGAGGCTTGCAGGCGAAAGGAAGGACTGCCTAGTAAGTGGCAGCTGTGGGATTTGAACCCACATCTGCCTGACTTTAGAGAATAAACTCCCCCCACCCCCGCCATTAAACATTGAGGAAATGTCAAAACACACACAAAGGTAGAGAAAATAGTATAATGAGGCTTCAAGTATCTATCTGCCCCACCCCCCCCACGACCCCTGTGTCAGAAGTTACCCACATTTTGCCAGTTATCTCCTCTTTCCTTCCTCTTCGTACTTCCCTCCCTCCCTCCTCTTTCCTCCATCTGTCTTCTCTTCCTCCTTTCCCCCTCCCTCCCTTCCTTCCTACTCCTCCCCCCTCCTCCCTTCCTTCTGCTTTGTGCTGAGTAGTTCTAAAACAAATCCCAGACATCACATTTCACCCAGAAATACCTCGGCGTGCCTCAGAGCCTGCACACATAACCTCTGCATTACGTGTCCTTCCTGGGAGAGAGGACGGGCTAGAAGAAAGCAGCCGAGAGTTTCCTGACCTGCCTCCACCCATTAGTAAGAGACCGGGGAATGTCATGACTGGGGGCTGTGGTGTTCTTCTCAAGTCCTCATAGAAAAGTCATATCAGAAGTGCCTACTTCCACGTGCAGACGAGAGTCACACCACAGAGAGAGACGGTGGTCACGAGTGTGGTCTCTGGTACCAGTCTGCCCGGGTTCAAACACCAGCTTTGCCGGTTACTAATTGTGTGACCTTGGGCAACAACCATAGCCTTTAAGAAAACGTTTATTTATTTTGAGAGAGAGGGAGCAAGAGAGAGCGAGAGAGTGCATGCACACATGCGCATGGGTTGGGAGGGGCAGAAAGAGAGATCGAGAGAGAGAGAATCCCAA